TCATGGAAATTGTACCTTTCATGTCTCAGTACGCATAGTGCTTCCAAAAATATAGGTGAACTAAAAAAATTGCACAAAACAAACAAACAAACCTCTTGTGGTCAGATATTGAGGAACGAAGATATTCAGAAGACGCCTTAGCAAGCGCTTTGATTACAGACTTCTCCACTGGCACTTTTTGCAGCACTCCTTTGTTCATCATACCCACAAGGCATAACAACGCTTCTGTCTGAATACAAACAGAACAAATTATAAAGTCAGCTCCAACCAGAAAACGCCAACCCGGAAAGGGAAACGGAAAGCACAAACCCTCCGGAAAATTCTGTAGTCTTCGTTGAAACCAGCTTCCAAAAATACGCTCGCTTTTGTAACAAAGCATTCCTGAACCACCTTATTTTGAAGAGAAGAGAAGGAAAGAAAATTCCAGGAACGGCAAATCTTACCGGATGCTTAACAACAGCAGCGATCGCCAGTTCAGATCCGATTAATCCTTCTTCTTGGGTCATAAATCGTTCAAACAGTCCAACAAACGCCGATAAAACCGCTTCTGAGCACGTGCCTTCCGATGAGATACCAAGTGAGAACTGTAATTACCGCATTCTTAAAGGCAGTTGGCACGATGGTTTCCTACTTAGCCTAAAATGCTAGTAGGGCGCTGTATAGTGGGGAAATGGCGAAAGAACGGAGTGAAACGGTCAAAATCCTGCGAAGAAAAAGCCTCCGTTCTCAGTGACTTGTAAATCGATTTCGGACGAGTTTCCCGTAGGCATCTTGCCAATCACCGCTACCGAAGGTACGGCTGCATATGTGTACTCATATATCCATGCATCACGGCCGCTTCATACCAATCCCTTCGCTTCATAATTTGCTTAGCAAATGAATCGATTAGAGCGTCAGGAACGGTCGTCCATTTGTGGGCGGGCGGGCGTGGGCGGGCGTTTGGGTCGGTATGTTGTGATTTGATAGCCCCTTATAAGGGCACCTCCCTTGTACAAAGGCATTATGCTCAGCGGCTAGCTCAGTTCGTCCTCCCAGGCGCCATTAGTCCTACTTGTCTTTGTGAACGATTATCGCTGCAATGTCTATTAAAGATGCAGCGCAGGATCTCCAATAGAGAAGGCGCAATGCTTCAGCTTGTAGACTTTTTCCGGTTTTCTTCCCATTAACGTGAGGTATATCCCTCTCCTATTTTTCCTCCCATCGACGGCAGTCTTTCTAGATTTTTTGGAAAAAAAGTGCGGAAAAGGGTAGGAAGTTCCGATGACTTAGGCTGCGTTTATACTTTGCGGCGGTGTAACGTAGCGCTTCCAGCGTACGCCAGCGGCAATGTCGGCGAAAGGATAGCTATCGATCTGGCGTTCCCAGCGCCACCAGCGCATTACGCCAGCTAGCGAGGGCACTCGGATCATGGGCCATCGATGCTAGCGCTCCCCAGCGTTTAAGAGCCGTTTCACCAACGTTTCCTCTAGCATGTCGCTTTAGCCGTTCGCGTAGCGCTTGCAGCCCGGCAGGAACGTAGGAGGACTAGTCGGAGATAGGGAGTGAGCACCACAGACACACGTCGATTTCGCGTCAGTGAAATATGGCGCGTTAGCCCACCGCACGAAGGGCAATACCGTACCAAAAATTGGGTGCAAGCGTAATTTTGTGTTTTTACAATTGATGGATATTGGACATTGCTCGACCTTAGTCTCCGGTTTGTTATTCCTTTCACCATTTTTTTTTTATTAGGTTTTCGTTTGCTTATAATTAAGCCGAGATGGTGAAATGGGGGGGAAATGATGAACATGGTCACACGTCAGAACAGCGGTAATAGAGAGAGGAGAGGGGGGGAGGGGGAATTGCGGACGAAATGTTCGCTCCCATCGATTGGCCCCGCTATGCTAAGGGCCGGGCGTCTCTTGTTTACCTGATTTCATGCCTACCGTCACTTTAAGGCAGCGCCCTCGGGCGCCCGCGTTCAAATTGATCTGTGCTGTGTTGATTAGTCAGTTGGTGCTCAGGTAGTAATAGCAAGGTAGCAAGAAACCTATTAGTGAAGAGAAATCAAAACGAAAACATGGAAAATGCCCTATAAGGAGTCTCATACCGAAGATATGCGGCTTCCGTACGTGCCTAAGTCGAAGAGAAGGAGTGGTTGCACGAGTTCACTTGTTGATTTCAGCTGTTTCCCCTTATCACCTCACTCTCACCACACGACGTGGAGAGAAGCAGCAATGGAACAACCGCACCATCAGGCAACCATTAGAAATGAAGTTGGGCGTCGTGGTCGCCAGGTGGGCGGGGCGGTCGACTCTTTACTAGCGATAGGCGCTATCCTCTCGCCTTTGTGAGATGCAAAACTAGTACATACTGCATCCTTATGGGGAGGGCTATGATACCCAGAAAGGGCGTAGGAACATCAAGTGAACGTGGGCGCTGCCTCTAAACCTCAACATCTCCCTTAGCAGCAGCGTTTTCGCGTAGCCCTTGTAGCTCGCTATCGCTAACTGATACATTCTAATGCACCATTTAACGGCTGTGATTCATCACAGAAGTGCTGAGCTCTGAGCAGAAGCAAGGCTCCGGGGCGGCACTGAAACCCGCATCTCACGTCTTCCGGACGAGTGCGCTATCCGTTACATCACCAGAGCCTCTCTTGCCCTCCCAGCTTGATGGCTTCTGTGTCATAGCCATGAGTTCACAATCTAAGCTCAAAGGGTACGGCACAAAAGCCGTTAAGCTGATAGGGTAAAAGGAGTCTTGGTGGCGTAATAGGGAGCACTTGCCCACAAAGCATGAGATGCGGGTTTGCACCCCATCTGGGGTCAAGACTTTTGCCCATAACTTAGAGTTACTGATGATCTTCGGAACAGCGACTTTAAACAGCAGTCATCATAATGAAACAGCTTTGAACAATCGTTGTGATTGTTGCCTGCTGTCTCACGTAAATTCGGCTTTACTACCGTCACTCTCTGTATTATTATTATAAAATTTGGCACTTACAATAAATGAGGCCAAAGCAGCAACACTCGAGATAAAAGTTGGATTGGAGATGCCAGTTCCTTCTGCGATCAACTTATCCAGCAACTTTAACACTTGTTTATCAGCGACCTCCATCTGAATGTAAAAATAATAAGCTTGACGCCTGGAACTGAGGAAAAAAATACCAGGTTTCCCCACGCCAGGGCACGTCGTACGTTGAGACCTCCAACTAAATGGAGCCATACCTGGTTGGAGGAGGGATAAGGGGGAAATATGTGCTTTTGAGAAGAATCTTTCGACTGGTGTTTTTTTTTCATTTCCCTGACGCTACATGGCCTCCCTCCCTCCCCGGACCGTTCTACGACTACTCATGCCCATATATTTTCGAGGAGAAAAATGGGAATTCCAGAAAACTACTTAAAAAACTTAAAGAAAGTTGAGGAGATTTTATGAAGAGGGAAGAATGCAGGAAGATGGTAGCTAGGATGACAGAGGGAGGGTCGTATCAACGGGAAAGTTCCGTGGGAGGTCGTATTTTACAAAAATTTACCCCAACAGCAGGGCTTACCCTGATTTCACCACCAGTT